GAGTTGCAGTCGATGTCCTCGTCAATGTCCCCATGTCATCGTGCCCTGATGTTCTTCTTCTTGCTGCTGTTGTTGTTGTTGCAATTGCTGTTGTTGTTGCTGTTGATTATCCCTTGACTGACAGGGCATCAAATGCGAAAACGACCGCCCAATTTACATACAATGCACATCAATCCAAACCAACAGCAACAGCAACAACAAAGTTACAAGTACTGTCACTGTCACTGACATTGCCCTGACGTTGCACCTTTGTGGCATATAGTAGTTGTCCTATACTACGTTTTCCTTTCCTTTCCTTTCCTTGCTTTCGGTTTTTTACCCCACTTTTTTTCTGTTGTTTTCTGTTGTTTTTGGGCTGCAATCAAGCGTACTTGTTGTCCACAACTCCAACTCAGTCGCAGCCGACTACAACAACTTCAATGGCCATGACACAAAGATTGACAGCATGTCGTCGCTGTTTGGAAGCCTGATTGACATGAGTAATCAAGCAGCCGAAATGTGTCCACAAAACGCAGAAGAAATGACACTGACAACAGCAGCAGTAGCAGCAGCAACAAACAACAACAACAACAACAACATGATGGCGTCGCTGAAAAAGCAACACTGGCTGGGGAGATCGACAACGATGAGCCGCCGACAGACAGCATATACGAATGGACAATTTGGATGTAGGGTCTGGGTGATGGGGCACTTGCGATTATTGTTTTATTTCTCCCTTCTCCCAGAGGTAGGGGGATTGGCAGAAAGTTAATAAAGCCGGAGAATAAATGTAAAACTCTTGAAATGCAAGATTATCGAGACCATCGATTGTGATTTCAGTCAATAGTTGCAACAGATTGAATATATTTTTAAAAAATTTCGAATAATTAATGTCATAATAACAGCAATTTCTCCCAGTCGCCTGAAGCTATATTTCCAAATAAAATCCCTGACAAAACAAACCTAAATAAATAGTAAGTCCTACATGCATTGCTTTACACTCTTACGCAGCTCATAATCTTAATTGCTGCTTTATTTAAGATCTTTTTTAAAAGCACAATTATTAAATTAGTTCATGTGCCTTGGCCTCTTACAAAATAAACCATTAAATGGTAAATGAAATGATAATTAAAATTTAAAGTTATTTGGAAGGCCTCTCTAATTGACAATCAAGCTTAGGAACGGTCCATTTTAAATTTTAGATTGGTTCGTCCAAAAGAAATCGCACACTAGCTCCAGGAAAAATTTAATATAAGAAGCACTTAATAGCCCAGAATTTGTCAATCCTTTTTGTCTATAATTTTAGAAAATGCCGGCAAAAAAGCACTCTAGCTTCAGAAAAAATTTAATATTTGAAGCACTAAACAGCCCAGAATTTGTCGATCTTTTTTGTCTATAATTTTAGAAAAGAAGCGAGGTGTTTTTAAGGTTTTTCAGCACTAAAAAGTTTGTTTTTTGCTACTGAATAGCAACAGAAAAATCGTTTCAAGATATAGCTCTATAAGCAAGTGGTAGCGGGTGAAATCATGCATAAGGAATATGGATCCAATTAAGCAAATAGCTGCGGAAACTACAGCACAATATCTCAGACTGTCGATTAATTGCTTTACGAATCAAATTTCAAAATATAATTTCATTGGAGCTCTTTTGAAATGTTCCAACTGGCATCTCTAAGATATATACCCAGTAATTATTAAGATATTAAATGATAAATTATGTACACAGTTTTATTTTTATTTACAATGGGCACACATTTTTCTATCAATTTTCAACAATCTGGCAGCACCGCACACATTCATCAAGACAAGGATCTGAACGGATTCGGGGCTGCACAGCAAGGACACCAACCACTCCATTGCACTCCATTGATAATTAAAATCTTGTGCCTAAAACATTTCATTTAATAGAAAGAGTAGTCAATAGGTTCTGTTTAAGGATTATTTGATGATTTAAATGCTGGTTTCGGGTATTACTGAAAACAAATATACTCTTTTTACGCTTTTTTAAACTTTAAATATTTTTGTACGAGAAATGAATAAACGAGTGGAATGCTTTCCTATCATTCTTTTTTATGACTATAATTTAATTCGATTTCTTCTACTTGGGTTTTCCTAGCTTATGTCTACAGTCATTGATTGTTGACATAAAAATATAATAAATATAAAAAAATATATGGACTGGCTATATGAAGTCTGCCACTCCCATTCTTGCCAGTTATACACATTTAGCTTTTCGACTATAAAGATAAACAGTCTTTGCCGTTTAAAAACAAATTTTGTCTCTCTTCGAAGCTAAACAAACTGTCTTCCTAATTTACGCAACAATTGCAAATTTGACTGCCGTAGTACTACTCCACTCCTATACTCGTATATGTATGTATCCTTCGGAGCCATCCTCAGCAACAAGCGCTCCATTGTCGTCGTCACATCAAAATGCATAGCCTTTGATGCCGGCGACGACAGACGGTAGCCGATTGACTGACAACAACCAACACACAGAATAGACAGACGGACGGACAGACAACGCTGACTGACGGGGAATGGTGGTGACTCAGTATATTGCAGCCCCCACTGTTCCCAGCTGCTGCTGCAGTTGCCGGAGCTGCTGGCTGGCTCTCTGACATTGTGCCTGTCTCTCTGTCTCCTGTCTGCCTGCCTGCCTGCCTGCCAACAGCAATTCTGATGACTTTTCGTCAGGCTGATTGACGTCAGCGAGTCAGAGTTCTGCTGGCATATAAATCTTTCAGCTCGTTTGTTACCTGAGGCAGCAGTGAGGAGGAGGAGGGCTAGAGGTATGCCTCCAAGCCAGGCAGGCTCATCTTCGCATCAGCCTTAAGGATTATGCTTTCGGTAAAAATTCCGACAATATCGCGTACGTGCAACGCGTCTGCCCATAAACAATGCCCGTTTAAATTGGCAATTGTTGTACAGTAAATTTTACAATGAATTACTGCCTTGGGATTTATTTTAAATGATTAAAGCTGCCATGGCCTGAAAAAAACAACGATATTTCGTTGCACATGCTTTTTGCAATCGTTGCTGGACAGCGAAAGTAAATGCCGTCCACTTGGAACAGAAATGAACATAACTTTTGGGTTACATTCACCCAAGCTTACATTTCATAAATTTGGAGATTCAAGATATTTCTCTCTTATTACTTTAATACACATACGAACAAAAGCATGACCGGTTTCTACAAATTCCTCAAGTTATTGGAACAATTATAAACGTAATAATTAGCTTAAGGCCTCCTAGCTAGAGCTAAATCGTTGTTCGCCTGCACATTTTACATTGCAGCCGAGCTGATAATAAATAAATACGAAAATATTCCTAATTATAGTGATTTAGTTTCCAAATTTAATTGAATGTTCTATAAACAATCTACAGTTTATTTTGATTGCTGTTAAAATTGATATTTTTGTTTGCTTCGCAAAAAATTTGTTTCAGGATCTTCTAGTCCAATTCATTGATAATAAAAAATTAAATAAAAAAGAATATTTGAGTATACATATATACTAATATTCCATTTATTATGAACATTTTTCAAGCAGTGAAAAGATAACTTACTTAATCGTGGTATTCGCTACAAAATGACCATCGAAATTTAAATTCTGTTTAGAAGTTTGTAAAATTTGTTTTGAAATGGATGGTGATAATTGAACGTATCGTGGCAGAGTCCACAAGTCGTATACGCGATGCAGGACTGGCCGTTATGACTGGAGTGTTGCGAACATCAAAAATGTCGAAATGTGCGGGAGATTGTCGAAAATCAGCCGAATCGTTTGTGAAGTCAATGAAATGGAGATGTCGAAGCCATGCAAAAGGCTTGTACAACAATTATGAAAGCCAAGCAAGTCGATGGCCTAAAACGCTTGTTTAAAATGATCGTGCAAAACGTTCTATTGAGGCGGAGGGTGATTATTTTAAATAATAAATAGATAATATATTAAAAATAATAAAACCTATGTATTAATTCTGAGTTAGTATTTTAAAAAATTCCTACCAAGTTGGAAACACATCTTGTACTTCCATATATGAACTTTGAAAAAAAAGCTAGAAAGTGCATTTTTTATGAGAAAATATTTTCTGATACTTGTCGGGGTGATTCCGTAAAGCTTTAAAAATGATGTATCTCAGTACCTATTCATTCATCACGTTTTATATCTTTTATACAAAAAATAAATTTACTATTTATGAAACAAACTTCTGATAACAACAGGTGGAATTTTATAAAAGCTTCTTTTAAAGCAACGAAAAAATCATTTATCAAGATTTTCAAAGAGGCAGACAGGATTGTTTAAAAAGATTAGAAAAGACTAATATAGATAGATTGTTCCATACTAATGGACTTATCCAATTACCAATTAATAATTATTAATCCTTACTATTTCAAAGCAAAGCCTTTACAACAAACAATGGTGATTAGGGTTGCGTTTAAAACATCAAATGCAATTTGGCATTTCGGATAAAGATTTGAATAAACTGAACATTTTCGTGCTGTGTTTTATTAGCAGTTTTCGACATGGACTATCAAGATAAGAGTGCTGCGATCAACTTCCTTAAAAAGAAAGAAGGAAAAAGAGGCACAACACTAAGCTGGAAGGAAGATTTCATTCAAAAGGTTGCAATTCAACTGGTTGCAGGGGCCCCAAATATTATGCACCAGCCCCATTCTTTTCTGAAAACGGAAATAAGCACTAATCGGTTTCTACAGTATTGCAACAACAATATAAATATTTCGGCAAACTTTCGTAAAAGTTGGCGTTGTTGTTGTTGCTGGGCAGCGAAAGTAAATGGTATGCACTTGAAAAATAAAAATGGGCGTAACTAAGTGGAAACACTTTTCGAAAGTAAGCCAAAGGCCATGCCTAACAATTGTGAAAACATATGGCTTAGACTCTAGCATAAAGCGAGCCAACTATAAAAGGCAGACAATTTCGGTTCGAAAAGCACAGTTCACTCGAGTTCACAGTTCAATCAACAACTCAGGCTAAAGTCGACTCATAAACAAGCTCAAGTACCATGGTCCTGAAGGTAAGGTGACGCATTTCTAGTGCACCGAACAGTCAGTAACGGTCCGGCATACATTTTGAACAGATTTTCGCATTGCTCCTGCTGGCCTGCGTTGCCATCCAAGCCTCGCCTTTCCATCATCACGGACATGAGGATCATGGATCTCATGGTGGCGCTACCAGTCATGCTTCTGTCAACTTGGTCTCACATGATGACGGCCATGAAGACCATGGACACGGGCATGGACACGGACACGGACATGAAGGTCATGATCACCACGATTCGCATGCCGAATACGATTTCAATTACGGCGTCAAGGATCCCAAGACTGGGGATATTAAGGGGCATAGCGAAAGTCGTCACGGCCATAAGGTTACTGGACATTATGAGTTGATCGATGCCGATGGGCACAAGCGCACCGTTCATTACACAGCCGATAAGCACAAGGGCTTTGAGGCACAAGTGCATCGCGAGAAGACCCACCATCATGTGCCCGTACATCATGGACACAGCGGCTACGAGGGCGGTCATGTGGACTTTGAGGAATACTCGTCCTCATCCCATGGACACGATTTTGGACATGACTATGGACATGAACATGGCGGTCATGGCCATGGTCATGGCTCATCAACACATGGTTTCTCGCTCAAGCAGGAACATGGTCATGGTCATAGCCACGGTGGACATGGTGGTCATGGACATGGACATGGACATGAGTACGGACATCATTGATATTAAAGCTGCTGGGTTGTTATCGCATATGCACCAAATTATATTGTTATACCAAATCAATTGAAACCAAAATAAAAAAGCAAACTTTTCTAAAAGAAATGAAACATAACTTACCGTTTGATTTTTTATTTTTAATATTGTTTCACAGCCAACCAATAGTTTTCAAGTGGCTGGTTAAGAGTTGAAATATCCATTGAGATACTTTTCTTTTCCATATAACTTCCATTTTGTAGTTGGCAATTGTAGAGTTTGGAATCTAAAAAGATTATTATGAATTAGTTGATGATTTATCCTTCAGTTGAAATATTTACCTTCAACCTCAACACCCAACTGAATAATTATGATCATGCAAAGCTTAATGAATGATCTGATTTACTAAAGATAAGTTGACAAAAACATTTACAAATTAGAATAATATCCCATTTTTTCAATACATAACAGCTAGCTTGTTCTATACAAAACAAAATTAAATAGCTCTAAAACCATTAAGAAGTTTAGGCTTTACAAAATAAATGTTGTACACAAATTTCAGACTTAGGACAAACAGCTACATGGCGCCAGCCAATATTAATCAGCAGCAGTATATATAACAAGTATTAACTATATAATAACTATTATAATAAGTATTAACTATGCTCTTATATTAAAATGTTCAAAAAGTAGCAACATTCAGAATGGGATAAAAAGAAATGGAAACAACTTTCTACAGAACTTTAAAAATTTGTATCAGAAATAAAGAGAATTTTCTAGCTGAACAATATTCTAATTAGCACTAAAGCCCGTTGTAAAACAATTAATATTCTATATTTTTAATTGAAAAACAAACAGAAGCTTAAATCTAACGCTTTCTCATACAGAGTTAATGGCTTTGAAGCAAATAACAACGGATTTGAGTCTTTAACGACTCCGATTTGGAAACTGATATCAATTCTAAGCAAACAAAACAAACGAAATTTAAAATAGTTCTCTCCTCATTATCTGCCATTTCCAACTCTAAAATAACATGTATCTGCATAGAAGCTTTTCAAAACAATCCATCCATTGTATTTTTACATTTGTTGAGTCAAGAAATGTTTTTTATTTTGGTTACCTGTGCTATAAAACGTACGATGTATCGCTTTAGATTTATGAAGGTGCCTTCACATTTAGCTTTTGTATTGGGCCGAGCTCGCTACGATCAAAGAGTATGACTGTTTTCTTTCATTTTATTTTTTTGTGCGTGTAGAGAATTGATTTGAGATTCGCTACTTTATTTATTTCCCTTTTTTCGTATTATTGATTAACATAAATTTTGTATTGTATTGTCTGTTTACGATATTTGCTTATGCTTGTTGTTTAGAATATGCCAAATAATTTCAATTGTTTTATTGATTTTATGCGATTTCCTTGCTAGAAAACGGTACGGGCATTAGTGCAAATAAAGTCATTAAAAGAATAATCGTGAAAGCTTTCAAGATTTATGCTTATGAGCTTAGATTTGCGTTGTACGAGTAGCGTACAGGAAATGCTAATTTATCTAAAAATATAAATTTCGAAGATTTATTTGCTGACTGACTGCATGCGCTGTTGATTTGTGTGCCAAGTTCTATAAACATTTAATTTATGCACATTAATGCATTTTTACATGCACATATATCAAATGTTTATGCCGATTTCGGCACGACATTTAATTAGCCAAAATGAAAGTTAACTAATGCAAGGCAGCAATAAATATTTGCGCTGACTTTGCACGCCACTTGTTTGCACGAGTATGTGTGTATGTATGTCTATATTTTTGCATTCAAATTAAATTTAAATTAATTAATTTGAGCCCCCAAAAGAACGTCACATTGTCAGAATCGTAAATTCAACTGATTGCGATTTATATGGATCGGGAAAGAATGAGAGAACAAATAAAAAAAAATAACAAAAAATTAATAAATAAAGAAAAAGACGAACAGCCAAAAGCAGCAACACTTTAACGCCGTCAATGAGTAGCCAGACTTAATAAAAAACCAATAAAGAATGGGATTGTTTGCCGCACTCGACTCTCAAAACCTCTACACTCTACACAATTAAATAATAGCCCAATCGGATGTTATTGTACTTAGTGTGGTTGAATCAGCTTAGCATGTGAGTCTATTTTTAGATGTATTAATTGTAAATAAGCTGATCAGCTTTATCAATTGTCCATGCGGAACACTTTAATTTCTTTATTTTTCAAAAATATATTTCTCTTATGAGTATGAGTTTTTGATCAGTTCCAGATTTTCATTTCAATGTCATTCTTGACGTTCGTCCGTTTATTTTTAAATATCATATTTAATCAAACGAGTAAGACTTTGCAATCAGTTCTGTATTTGCATTTCAATATCATTCTTTAAAAGAAGCATTGCCTGTTTAAGCATTAATATTCAAAAGAAGAGCTTCTTAATCTTATCGATATCGGTGCTGTCTGGCTTTCAGACTTTCCAACAAGCACAATACTATATAACTTGAGCTTGAGTGGCAATAGGTAGGTATTTATCTTTAAGTATTATAACTCGAGCAGAATTAGTCCATTCAGAAATCCAATCGAATTAATTTATAATTTAATTGTTACAGCTTATTATAATTGTCTTTATAGCTATAACTGTTATATTTGTTGGAATTGGCAATTGATCGGTTTCTTTAATCTTTGGAGCTCTACACTTAGTTTTCCCAGGAATAAATAATACTACAACTGCCTCCAGCTCTAACTCTTTTTTGAAAATGGAGCCGGAACAGGCTGCATTGTTTACCCTTTTTTCCCAATTACTAGAACTATTAGGAATATAATACTGAAAATGCCAATCCGATTTGGAAAAGCTTGTAAGGAACAAACAAATACGATAAATACACTTCGCATTTAAACATAAATAAATACTATACTACGAATATATTACTATACTTTATCCATACTATCTGAAATATTTTATTTAAAGTAGAAGGCACACAAATTCGTTTTCGTGACTCCTACGCCTATACTATAGTTTCGAATGCAGCCCAACTAATAACCCCCTCTCTCTCCCTCTCTGTATAGGGTACATAACAAATTAAATAAACTAACCAAACGCGTTCATCATTTGCATTGCAAATGCTTCGCCAACGTATACAAATAAAGTAAGTAAATATATATTTTATGTTTCACTTGTCGTCATTTAATGCCATAAAAATGGGTATGTGTCTTATTAACTGATGAGACGGTCGTTTAAAATACAGAAAAGAAACAAAAACCGGTATGGCACCAGCCATATAGCCACAGAGTTGCGGCGCCCCCAATTCGAACGCCCGTCGTTGCCGTTCGGCTTTGGTGGTGTCATTAATTTTGGAATCGTAAAGCCCACAATATGTCAAACGAGACCACACAACGTCGTAAAATGTTAAGTTTATGGCGCTCGCTACACTCAAGCTTGTCTGTCTTCATATATATGGCTTTGAATTTTTATCAGAGTGGCGTTTTTAATGGTTCGACTTTATGTTAGGTGCTGCCGCCTGATATCGCTGCTGAGGTTGCGTCGCTGTCCAAATATCCAAATAGTCCCAAATGTGTCGTGAGTTTTAGTTTTTTATAAACGCTTGCCAGAAAATTAAGCGTGACTCATTTGTCAACTTTTGCGGCTTGATTTTTTATTCAAATGGCTCAACAAATGGAGGCTTTTTGTTAAGAGTAAATGAAATACATTTCAAATGTATTATTTCCCATTGTATTTTGTTGTTGTATAAGTATTGGAGGTTTTATATAAGCGGAAGGCCCACAGGGGTCTACCATGTCAAAATATATTCATAATTGTATACAGATGAGCAGACGATTTAAACTCAAATAGCAGCTTATTTCAGGGGAAACATTAAAATTATGATAATACTATGTTAAAATTAAGGCAATGTTTTCAGTAACTTTGAAATAAATAAATGTTATGAAATGTAAAGGAAATGTGTAATGCGAGTAGATTCTTTTACTTATATATAAGCAACTATTTTATACTGCTTTTAAGCGACCTAAATTATAACTTTTTGTGTTATATTAATACTTTATGTAAAGATAGATGGATTGCTAAAATGATAATAATTATTAATGACACAAAATACAAAAAAACTCGAGAAGGTTTCATTTATTCCATTATCAAAAATAGGTAAGCATTTTGTGTGAAAATACATTACAATACTAGTGTGAATTGTTAAGTTTCTGGTTTAAAAAAAAACGGCTTCTGCCATTTCTTATTATGTCATGCACGCGCATGAAGAAAGGGTATACTAGTAAGTCAAAGCTCCAACTGAAGCAAAATTTAGATTGAAGTGCTATGGACTCCATGCTATATGTGCTACTATATGTGCACATAATCAGCAAATCTGTGTGTCTGTATGAACCCCGACAACTTTTGAACCATAACATCTAGGCACATCAAACTTGTAAAGTAGATTTGTTCTATACTTTTGCAGAGCAAGTTTATATCAAACCATGTAAAGAGTCAATATTTTATATAGCTGTCATAGGACCGATCGATGCAGCAATCAAGCCGCAAAATATCAAGATATCCTAACCGTTTTGGTATGCAAGTGTTGTGAATAATGCCTTTGTAATGGGAGGTCCCTAAAAATATATGATAATATAACCAATATCTTATTTCTCTATGATATATAACAGCTATTATAGAAACGATGGGTATATGATTTTTATTACTGCCAAAACTTGTTGCTTTATAATTATATCTTTAGCAAATGCTGTATTTTTGAAATTACATAAAATCGGTGCACTAATTAAGTAGTTGCCAAAGAAATATTTAAAACAACAAAATGTATTTCAGTTAAAGGGTATTTAACAGTCGAGCTGGCACGACTTCAACCCTCTATTTGTTTTCTATTTCAGTCTCTGGCTAATTTGTTTATTTAAAAGCAGTTCGATTGCCCTGTCGCTAAATATTTGCTTGTCAGCCCTT